CATTTGAAGTCAGGAGTTCCAGACCAGCCTGGCCAACATGGTAAAACCCCATCTCCACTAAAAATACAGAAATTAGCCAGGTGTGGTGGCGCTCACCTGTAGTCCCTGTTGCTTGGGAGGCTGAGGTGGGAAAATAGTTTGGATCCCAGAGGCGGAGGTTGTGGTGAGCTGAGATCACATCACTGCTCTCCAGCTTGGGTGACAGAGCAAGACTCTGTCTCAAAAAACAAACAACAAACAAACAAAACCCACACACACAAAGGGATCGGGAATCTGATTGATCTCAAGACTTCTTTTCAGGCAAACAATAACAGAAGACAAGAGAGTAACATTTTTACAATGTTTAGAATAAAAGGATACTTGACTCAAGAATTATATTCATAAAAAAACTTGAATACAAGGATAACACACAGCCAATCTGAAGCATGTTAAATCAGAGAATAAGGTATTTATGAGCTCTTACTTTGAAAGTGAAATTCATTCACCTGCTGTGATATTGTGAAATAAATATTTGGTCATCATTCCACTCCCCTACTCCTTTCCTCACCTACAGGCAATCTCCAAAGTGATGTCTTTTTGTATGCTAATGATTAACTGATAGCTGGCAGCCCTTAGATACCTTCTGGATGGAGGCTGGTCATGAGGAAGGCTGTATGATTAAAAGGTTGTGACTCTGGAGCTTCAACCCCCAACCTCTGCAGAGGGGCCTGGCAGTTAAGTTGATCACCAATGGCCAGTGGTTTAATCAATCATGCCTATGTAATGAAGTCTCCATAAAAGACCCAGATGGACAGGATTCCTAGAGCATCCTAATAGCTGAACATGTGGAGGTTCCTGGAGGGTGGTGTACCCAAGGAGGGCATGGAAGCTCTGCACCTCTTCCCCCATACCTTGACCTATGCATCTCTTCATCTGTATCCTTTGTCATATCCTTTATAATAAATGTAAGTTTTCCTTGACTTCTGTGAGCTGCTCTAACAAATTAATCGAACCCAAAGAGGGAACTGTATGAACCCTCACTTGAAGCTGGTCAGTCAGAAGTTTCAGAGGCCTGGACTTAACGATTTTTGTCTGAAGCAGGGCCAGTCTTGTGGGACTGAGCCCTCAACCTATGGAATCTGATGCTTTCTCCAGGTAGATAGTGTCAGAATTTAATTGGAGGACACCCAGCTGGTGTCTACTGCAGAACTGATTACTTACTTGGTGTGTGGGGAAAATAACTACACATTTGGTCAAAAAAGGCTTCTGTGTTGACTGTTGTGTTAAATAAGAGAAGAGAAAAAAGCACGTTGAGTTTGTGTTTTTGTTTCCACTGATGCACCCAGTGATTCCTCACAATAAAAAACTCAGGGATAAAAATGCTATCTATGATAAAACTTCCAGCAATGATTATTCAATCCTTTTAAAGTTAAGATTAAACAACAGGGCACACTTTGGCTATAAAAACTAACATGGCTATAGAAATGAATACAACTTTTACAGATTTTTTAATGTGAAATTCTTAATGAAAAAAGTGGAGTTTTAAAGTGCTTCTTTCTTTCTTTCATATGAGAAAAGAACTTTTATCTGAGGAATGCAAGCCCTTTTAATTATCAGGCCCAGAAAGAATGAAAATGAGACTGCAATCATGTCCTACTTGCCACCCTCTGAGCTATGTATTTATCTTTTTTTTTTTTTTCTTGAGACAAGATCTTGCTCTGTCACCCAGGTTGGAGTGCATAGGTTCACTGCAGCCTCCATCTCTGGGGCTCAAGTGATCCTCCCACCTCAGCCTATAAAGTAGCTGGGACTACAGGCATTTATCACCATGTCAAGTTAAATTTTTTAAATTTTTTTTTTTTTTTTTTTTGTAGAAACTGGGTCCCACTGTATTGCCCACAATGGTCTTGAACTCCTGGACTCAAGCAATCCTCCTACCTCAGTCTCCCAAAGTGTTGAGATTACAGGTGTGAGCCACCATGTCCGGCCTGTATTCATCTCTTGAAACTGCTTGCTATTGCTACAAGTAGCTATAATTTAACCTAATAATGCCAAACCAGACACTATGACCCATACCCTATAGCTTAACAATGCATAGCCAATCACTAATTAATGTTATTTCTTGTAAAGTAAATACAGTTCCTGACAAACTTTGTATCAGCCCACTCCCTATCTCTCTTTTTTGCATTTAAAAATTCACTCCTGGCCAGGTGCCGTGCCTAAGACCTGTAATTCCAGCATTTTGGGAGGTCAAGGTGGGCGGACTGCTTGAACTTAAGAGTTTGAGACCAGCCTAAGCAACACAGCAAGACTCCATCTCAATTAGAAAAAACAAACAACAAGAACAAAAAACCTTAAAAACTTTAAAAAAGAAAACAATTAATAAAAGTCCATTCTTAACTCCTGCTAACAGAAGTGTATATCAGGGCAATGTGAATCTGAGCTCCCAGGCTAGGGTGCAATCCTCAAGCTTGGCCCCAATAAACTCTCTACTTATACTAATTTTACTTCAACTTCTTTTAAGGTCAATTCATACCTGAGAGTCACACGATATTTTCAATTGAAATAATAAATGAGAAAATTCTGACCAGGCCTAGTGGCTCACACCTACAATCCTAACACTTTGGGAGGCTGAGGCAGGCAGATTGCTTGAGTCCAGGAGTTCGAGACCAGCCTGGGCAACATGGCGAAACCACGGCTCTATTCAATTTTTAAAAATAAATATATATTAAATAAAAGAAAAGAAAAAAATTTGATGACTCCAACACCTTTTTTTCAGTCTCATTTGTTATTAGAAGAGTGTTTAGAAAATAAATATAGTTTGTTGAGAGAAAATATTGCATGAAGTTCAAAATTTTCTTCAATTTCACTTCAATTGACTATTACTCTTAAATTCAAGTTAACACTTACATAGCACCCACTATGAGCCACATACTTTTCAATATTCAGTGATTTGGCTAGGTGCAATGGCTCATGCCTGTAATCTCAGGGCTTTGGAAGGCCAAGGTGAGAGGATCGCTTGAGGCCCAGAGTTTGAAAACAGCCTGGGCCACACAGTGTGACCCCATCTCTACAAAAAACTTTACAAATTAGCCAAGCATGGTGGCATGTGCCTGAAGTCCCTGTAGTCATAGCTCCTTGGGAGGCTGAGGTAGGAGGATCACTTAAGCCCACTTCAAGTCTGCAATGAGCTCTGATTACACCACTGCACTCCAGCCTGTGTGATATAGCAAGACTCTGTCTCTAAACAAACAACCAACCCATGCATATATATATTTTTTTAATTATATATATCAAATATTTTACATATATACATATATAGTCAACAAGTAATTTAGTCCTTATGACAACCTGTATAAGTCCTCATAACCTGCACTATTATATACATTTTGTAGACCAAAAAACTGAGCCGTATAGACTTTGGGTAATTTGTCCATCGCTATACAGCAAGAAAGCAGCAGAACCAATATTCAAAGATAGATTGGGTTCAGAATCTGTGCTCTTAGTCTCTACATTACACTGCTTCTCAAATACAACAACATGTAGAGAATGAATTGATTTTTATCCAATTAATTCTATAGCTACCTCCAATCAACCCCAAGCCATCTATCCTTCTAGGTAATGATATTTAAGTGTATAAGAGAAAATGTTTGAAATAATGTTTCCCTATGGATAAAGAATAGGCATTGTGGAATTTAGGTGAATGTTTTTGTTTCTTTATTTGTTTTTTTTTTCAACGAGTTTAATGGTCTACAATGAGCCTATCAATCTTCAAAAAAATGAAATCATTAATCTAAACAAAAAACAAATGTTACCTAATCCAAGTTTAACACATATTATTAATTATTTATGGCTTTTTGTCTCCCCAGTGAACCATGTTTTAATTAGCACTTTACTCCGTTCCTCCACAGAGCCTACTACAACACTGGACAAAGTAAACATGCCATAAGTATGCTGATTGATCATTAAACATTAGATTACTGGATTCTATCTATCTGTACAGGTAACATATTTCTAGATGTTCTAGGGCCTTTCCACTAAAGCATATTCCTTAGACTACCATCATGTGTAACATCTGGGAGCTTGTTATAAGAACAGAATCTCTGGTCCCAACCCAGGCCTAATGAACCAGAATCTGCATCCTGACAAGATCCCCCAAGTGATTAGATTGTACATTAGAATTTGAAAAGTACATATTTCTAGGGCATTGTTTCTCTAAGTGTAGTCCATCATTTATCAGAATCACCTGGGTTGCTTTAAAAAATGTAGATTCTTAGGCTCCACCCTATTCAAGTATCACTCAAGTTTAAAAACCAAAGCTAAAAAAAACTGCAAGTAAAAAATAGTAAAGAACAGGAATAGGGATATTAAGCAGAGAGCAGTGAAAGACTTAGATGGCTCAAATAAATTTTAAAAGTGATAATAAGGAGAAGAGGAGATAATAAAAAGAGGAGTCACATATGAAGAAACAACAAAACTATGAAGAAATAAAGAAAGTACTTGTATTGAGAGTGATGTGCAATTCTTTCTTTCTTTTTTTAAATTGACTGCTATTCCTGACAGGCAAACTAGCATGCCAAAGGTTTTAGAAAAAGACTGGAGAGGTCGGGCACGGTGGCTCACACAAGGTGGACGGATCACAAGATCAGGAGTCTGAGACCATCCTGGCTAACATGGTGAAACCCCATCTCTACTAAAAGTAAAAAAATAAGCCAGGCATGGTGGCAGGCGCCTGTGGTCCCAGCTACTCGGGAGGCTGAGGCAGGAGAATCGCTTGAACCTGGGAGGCAGAGGCTGCAGTGAGCCAAGATTGCGCCACTGCACTCTAGCCTGGGCAACAGGGCAAGACTCCATCTCAAAAAAAAAAAAAAAGAAAGAAAGAAAGAAAAAGACTGGAGATATGCAATTTCCTAGGGTAACACATTAAGAATGAGTCACATTTTTGAATACGTAACTACCACCTAAAGCATACCTTTTATAAGTGCTCCTAATATCATACAGAGTTTTAAAAGTGTACATACATGTTTAGAGACATTTCCATATGCTTCGCTCGTGCAATTGCTTCATCTCTCTCCTCAATGGCTAATTGCAGTCTAGACATAACAGCTTTATCACGTTCCTTCTGCGCAAAATACACTTCTTCAACCAGAGCTACCAAAATATATAAAGCACACAATCAATCATAGAAAATAAAGGAGAAATGTATACCTTTAGCAAAAATAAAAGCCATAAGTAATTATTATTGTAAGGACTACTCATTAAACTGAATTAATATCAATTAATCAATTCAGAAAATAGTATTTTTAATAATAGGTACTGCAAAACTGGGATACCACTTCATACCCCTAAAAAGAGCAAAAATTTAAAGGTCTAATAATAGCAAATGTTGTAAGCCTGTGAAATAAAGAAAACTCTCATACATATTGCAGATAGGCAGATACATTTCTACAACCATCTGAAGAGCAACGTGGCAATGTTTATTGAAGTTGAAGACAGGCCTAGCCTAGCAAATCCCCTCTTTGATATGTAGCCTAGAGAAATTCATGCACATATGTAAATGTAAACATGTACAAAAATACTTACTGCAGCATTGCTTATAACAGCAAAAGGTTAGGCATAACCCAAATGTCCATCAACATTAACAGGAATAAATAAATTACATTCAGAATGGAATACTACCCAGCATTTAAAATGACTTGACTATGGACAAATGGACAAATCTCAAAAACAAAATGCTGGCAAAAATAGCAAGTTTCAAAGTAAAACAACTCTACCCACTACTTACGAATAGACGCAGTTAGTAAAAATAATACAATGAGCAGGGCAGGCACAGTGGCTCACGCCTGTAATCCCAACACTATGGATTACCAGGGCAGATTACCAGGTCAGGAGACCAAGACCATCCTGGCTAACATGGTGAAACCCCGTCTCTACTAAAAATACAAAAAATTAGCCAGGCATGGTGGTAGGCGCCTGTAGTCCCAGCTACTCGGGAGGCTGTGGCAGGAGAATGGTGTGAACCCAGGAGGCGGAGGTTGCAATGAACCGAGATTGCGCCACTGCACTCCAGCCTGGGTGACAGTGTGAGACTCAGTATCAAATAAATAAATAATAATACAATGATCATGAAAAGGGTAAACACAAAATTCAAAATAGTAATTATCTCAGTGGGAAGGTGGAAGGGGAGGAAAGAAAATGGGTAAGGGAAGAATAAAATAGGACAATGCTGTGCTGTTATAGTAGTGCACATCTGCACAGAGCAGGGGACACTGTTGATATAGATTTTAATACAAATGGCATCATCTAGATTTTTGCAGCACTGTATCAGGAGCTTTAATGTTATCTGAACTTATCATTTCTTAAGCATGATTTTATTGTTTGTATGTTTGAAGTCTTACATAATTTTTTAAAACATTACTGCAATGTGGGCCAGGCATGGTGGCTCACGCCTGTAATCCCAGCACTTGGGGAGGCCAAGGCGGGCGAATCACATGAGGTCAGGAGTTTAAGACCAGCCTGGCCAACATGGTGAAACTCCCGCCTCTGCTAAAAATACAAAATTAACCAAGCGTGGTGGCACATGCCTGCAATCCTAGCTACACAGATGGCTGAGGCAGGAGAATTGCTTGAACCCGGGAGGTGGAGGTTGCAGTGAGCCGAGATCACACCATCGCACCATCGCACTACAGCCTGGGCAATGAGAGCGAAACTCCATCTCAAAAAAAAATAATAATATTACTGCAACATTAGACAAAGAGGGCCTCAAATACCTGAATTGCTGAACCAAATTTTATTTATACTGTCGAACTACAAAATAAACTTCAGAAATATTTTGAAATGCTCTTTTAGTTTGTAAAGCATTGGATTCCTGCCCAAGGATTGTTACAGATTAATATACAGTTAATCAAGATAGTTATTAGGCCCAGCATGGTAGCTCACACCTATAATCCCAGCATTTTGGCAGGTCAAGGTGGGAGAATCACTTGAGCCCAGGAGTTCGAGACCAGCCTGGCCAACATAGTGAGACCTTGTCTCTACAAAAAAATAAAAATTTGGTAGGCCGAGGTGGGAGAATCACTTAAGCCCAGAAATTTGAAACCAGCCTGGCCAACTTGGTGAAACCCAGCTGGAGCCTAGGAGGTACAGGCTGCAGTAAGCTGTAATTGTGCCACTGCACTCAGCATGGATGACAGAGTAAGACCCTGTCTCAAAAAAAAAAAAAGTTATTATTGTATTTCTTAAATTGTAAGTAGTGGAAAAGTGGTGGTAGAGTATTCAGCATGGATCTAACTAGCCAGTCAGTTCACACCCTGGGCAAGATGGCATAAAATTTCATTACCCTACTCAAAACAATATGTAATTTAAAACTTATGAACTGTTTATTTCTGAAATGTTTCACAATATTTTCAGACTTTGAATAACTGAAACCCTGGAAAAAGGAACCACAGATAAGATGGGACTACTGTATCAATTCCCCATGCTGGTTTTTTGTTGTTGTTGTTGTTTGTTTGTTTTGAGAGTCTCATTCTGTTGCCCAGGTTGGAGTGCAATAGTGAAATCTCAGCTCACTGCAACCTCCGCCTCCTGGGTTCAAGCAATTCTCTTGCCTCAGCCTCCTGAGTAGCTAGGATCACAGGCGCCCACCACTATACCCAGCTAATTTTTTGTATTTTTAGTAGAGATGGGGTTTTGCCATGTTGGCCAAGCTGGTCCCGAACTCCTGACCTCAGGTGATCCACCTGCCTTGGCCTCCCAAAGTGCTAGGATTACAGGTGTGAGCCACCACGCCTGGCGCCTCATGCTGTTTCGACAGCAACTTCTATCAACTGTAGTACACAAAAATGAATTTTATTTTTCCCTTCTAATGCTACAGAATATCCTACCAGTAAGGGCAGTAATAACAGCTTGGAGAAACCAACATGGTGTATCTTGCATAGTATGGTTAATAGCATGGTGTATGGAAGAATATGAGTTTTAATTGTGATCTAAGGTATTAAGGGTTAGCAACCTTGTTTTGTTAATTTCTTACATTATTTTAGTTGAAGTTCAGGTATATAAAATGGGTAAAATACCACTATTCATGATGTTATGAAAAATTCAATTAGAAAATATATGAAAGCTCTTGGCCAAATAAATAAAATAAAGTGGATCATCAACAAATGTTAGTTCCATTCTACCACTACAGTAAATACTCAAACCACAGTCACAATGTGACTTAATTCCTAGACATATTAATAATGTGGTTTTGATTAATTTGTACTACTCACATATTAAAAATCTAAGTCAAAATTCCTCAATTTTTAGCCTTTTTCATTGGCAGGTAAAAATTATGTAAGGGACTGAAAGAAAAATTATTCTGAATCCATTCTATATTGTATGCTGCATACCATATTTATATTAATAATAGTTTATCAAAAATATTGCAGTGGCTCACATCTGTAATCCCAGCACTTTGGAAGATCAAGGCAGGTGGATCCCCTGAGGTCAGGAGTTTAAGACCAGCCTAACCAACATGATGAAAACCCATCTCTACTAAAAATACAAAACTTAGCCAGGCATGGTAGCTCACGCCTGTAGTCCCACCTACTTGGGAGGCTAAGGCAGGAGAACTGCTTGAACCTAGAGCAGGAGGTTGCAGTGAGCCAAGATTGTGCCACTACACTCTAGCCTGGAAGACAGAGCAAGACAGGGTCTCAAAAATCAAACAAACAAAAATATGGTATTCTAAGATTTTTTAAGTTTAACATTATCATATACTTCTAAGTTGCCTCCTTAGTGCAGCAGGCAGCACATCAGTCTAATAAAATACTTCTAATTTGTAGGCCAGACAGAAGGGACAAAATGATGGTAAATAGTGATGTAAGCATAGATCAACATGCTACCCTGAAATATTCTGAGATATCAAAATGTTAAAATACTAATTACTAAACTTTAAATGCCAATAGGCTTCCTTTCATTTCTATAAACTGTGGCCAGATCTTTATACAGTTACTTGTAATGCAAGTTATATACCACTTTACATGAAATAGTACCTGATGAAAGAGGTAAGACTAGCATATCAGGTGCTTTAGTAGTAAGTCTAAACATCTCTATGCTTAAAAGTAAGTATTATATACAGAGGGCTTCTTTGGTCCTGTGTGATCAAGAGAAAACATTTTTTTTTTTAATGCTACTTCAAATCCAAAGATGTATATGTGCATTTAAAGGATATTGCCATTTAAGTATTCTAAGGTTAAAATTTTAAATGCCAGAAAACACACATGCACAAACACATAAAATCTGGTTATAGAATTTATAAATGATAAGAATGTTTTTCAAAATTAAGGCATTACTCTAAAGATTCAATGCAATCCCTATCAAAATTCTACTGTAATTCTTCACAGAAATAGAAATAGAAATAGAAATAGAAAAAACAATCCTAAAATTCATATGGAATCACAAAAGACCCCAAACAGTCAAAGCAATTTTAAGTAGCTACCATTTAAAATACATCACAAAGCCAGAGTAATCAAAACAGCATGGTGGCTGGGTGTAGTAGCTCATGCCTGTAATCCCAGCACTTTGGGAGGCCGAGGCTGACGGATGACCTGAGGTCAAGAGTTCGAGACCAGCCTGGTCAACATGGTGAAACCCCATATCTACCAAAAATACAAAAATTTGCTGGGCGTAGTGGTGCATTCCAGTAATCCAGCTACTCAGGAGGCCGAGGCAGGAGAAGCACTTGAACCTGGGAGACGGAGGATGCAGTGAGCTGAGATCACGCCACTTTTCTTTTGTTTTTTCGAGTGTGCAATTCTTAAAAAAAAAAAAAAAAAAAAAAAAAAAAAACCAGCATGGTATTGTCATAAAAACAGACACACTGACCAATGGAACAGGATAGAGCATCCAGAAATAAACCCACACAATTATGGTCAACTGATTTTCAACAAAGGTACCAAGAACACACAATGGAGAAAGTACAATCTCTTCAATAAATGGTGCTGGGAAAATTAGATATCTGCATGCAGAATAAAAATAAGCATCATCTCATCCCTTATTCAAGAACCAGTTTAAAATGCACTGAAGACTAAAACATAAAACCTGAAACTGTAAAACTACTAGAAGAAAACACGGGGAAAGTTCCATGACATTGGTTTAGACAGAGACTTCCT